TGACCCTTGGGTTGCCAGCTGTGCGCTGCGGCTGGGCTTTGCTCGGTAGGAAAGGGCTGCGGGGAGGCTGAAGGGGTCTCCCCCTCCTGAGTTTACTGGGGGGGAGCTGCTGCTCCTCGCTGGTCCCGCTGGGGAGGAGGGCCCGCGCCCCTCTGCTGCGTGTGCAGGCAACCTCTGCAGACAGCAGGGCCGCGGAGGGCCGGCAGCGGGAGAAGGGGGAACATCAGTGCCGTCCCTTCGTGAGGGGGGCCTTTTTGCACAGTCACCCGACGAAATGTATTTATTTTAAAAAAAAAAAAAAAAGTGTTATCTGCAGAAGGTGACGGGTAGGTTGTTTCCGAGGAGGCTTTGTATCCTTTTGTTAATTGAAGAAGTGCGTTTGCTACTAGCGGCAGTACTGGGGAGGCTGTACCGTTGAGAGGGATTACTGCAGAGGAAAGTACGGTCAGTTCCCTGCAGGAACAGGGGCAGATTGAGTGCGTATAGTTCAGGCATTTGTCAGAGCAGGTAATTCCTGTTCAGCAGTGATTCTGTAACAAATGAAGATCAATAGCGGTTATTAGAAAAGGTTTTCTGCTGTAAGTCTAACTTGTAGTTTGCTTTGCGTGTTTAAGTCTGCTGATGGTAAGAGCTTCGTGTTACTAATGCTTTTCCTTTTCTCAGAGTCTTAGAAAGTTGTAAGCGTGTAATGGAAATTCATATGTTTGTGTTGTTATCTTGTATTTCTGCAACAACTAGATCTGCATGAACAGTGAATTTATCTGCTGTAAAGTCACAGTTCCCCTCTAGGTTAGTAGGAAGAGAGAAGTAGGCCATAAACACTTCTGTGCCTAATTGATTTTTGTCTGTAATGTGTATGTGACAAAAGTTGCACAAGAGCGGAACTACTTAGTTCGATTGTGGTAGTGATTTGGGGGGGAGGAGGGAGGAGAAAAAACAAAAAACCAGACACCCTAGTATTAAGGACTGAAGTTCTTGAGCTATGTGTTTGCTGGCGGTGTGGGTGAGGAGGGGAGTGAAGAGGTATTGTGTTCTGCGTGGATTAGATACAGCAATCGTCTGTTTTACAGCAGAGTGCGTATCTTCAGATCAGACATCAGTTTCAAGTAGAACACAGGCTAGTCAATACTGACAGGTGGCTGATGCTGAAGGTGGGCTTCGCAGATAGGAGACAAATGTAAACTAAGAAAACTTGAGTGCACAGAATTGGAATAGAAATTTTTTATAGTACAACTAAGTACATTGCACACTTTAATATGTGCAAGCACTCACTGCAAATAACCAAAAAAAGCCATTTCAAATTGATGTATATGTTTTTGTTTTTCAGACCCCATCAGCTGTTCAGAAGATAAAACAGCTTCTTAAAGATAAACCTGAGCATGTAAGTATAAACAGGGCCAACCCGTAG